AAATGAGACACATTCATTATCAGTGACATTTCCAGATGTGACAGTTTTTTAGAAGAGGATATGGGCTCTCTCTCTGCCCAGAGGTGTTCCTCCACTATAGCCAATGTCTTTCCCTCTGCCTGCCAGCTGAGACTGTCCAGAGGGAGGATGCTTCTTCCTCACCTACCAATGAGCAGGTACACTTGCACCAGGTCCAGGTTCTGCCAGCCTAGTGTTCAGACTTAGGATGGCATGACCTTCTCTTTCTCTGGATCTGGATCTCCAGCAGACTCCTAGCATTTCAGGCAGCCCCACTGCCTGATTTTCAACTACTTACCAACAAAAAAATGGAGCCATCTTTACCCTTCTCCTACCCTCAGGGCAGCAGTGCCCATACTCATTGTAACAAGGTTGACTAGTTTGAGGAGTTTCTCTTGCATGAATTTAAGCATTAAATTCCTATGTTCAACTGATGCATTGGTAGCCAAAGCAGCCACTTGCTTGGGAACAATTCAGATTTGTGAGGTAGTCTCAAGAAATTCCATGAAAGAGTGAGAATAACCCCCTATATGCTACCTGGTTTTGTTTTGTTTTGAAGATAATTGTAGTTTAATTTTTGAACTTCTGGGATTGGTAGAGAAGGAAATTTGTTTTAGATGAACCTTAAGAAATATTCAAGATGGAATAGGTAACATGATTTTCAACATGATCACTACCATTAGGTGGTCTACCTTGCTTTATTTAACACAATTAAAGTCTAGACAAAAGGAAGCTGTAAGAATGTTTTAAATTTGTAGTCCGGAAGACATTCTTATGTTCCAGGAAGGGATGGGGAGAGGAATAGTGAAGAAAAATAGAAAGAAGAACTGCTGATAAGACCAAAAAAGGCAAAATGAATTCCTAAGGAAAACTTGCAATTCTCAGGAGGCATGACATTGTCGGTGAACTGGAATATTCCAAATGCTACAGTGACAGCCTTTGCTTCATCCCTTTCTCACCAAGAGGTCTCATCTAAATCTGTCCAGGGCTTAGTATTTTTCAGTGACACATCCTTCGCTCTCTCCTTTCCTCTCTGTCTCATGATCCTCCTCCCTTCCTTTAGACTTCCCTTCCTTCTTTCTTTTCTCCTTTCTTTCCTCCCCTCTTTCTTCTTCATTTTCTCTCTTTCCCCTTCCTTTCTTTCTCACACACTTTCTTCTCTCTCTGGGTCAGATACTGTTTGCAGTGCTGAAAAGGAGAGAATACAACCACCTCTAAGATCTGTTATCCACCCCATGTTAAATAACTGACACAAAGGCTGAAAGGCAACTGGCATGAAGAGGTTTGGTAACTTTCCCAAGGTGGCTCGGGAAGAGTTGGGATCTGTCAAGGGCTCTGATTATGCCGCTCCATTACTCAATGCCTTCTCTGATTTCCTATTGCCTGGAATAATTCAGTGGAATAAAGTTCTCCATTTATAACATGGCAAACTGCCCTCTACAGTAAATGGCACCAACCAATTCCCCAAATATGTGTAACTCCAGCCATTTCCTGCAGGGCCTCAATAGCATCAACAGAATACTTTATTTCCTGAACACAACTGAGCTCTGGTGTTTTGTTTGTTTGTTCATTTTTGTTTTGTTTTTGCCGCTTTGTGATTATATGTATTGGAAGCGTTAGAGGAAAAAATGCCTTTTAGCTTAAGAAGGCGTGAGTTATCTGCAAATTAATTAATTTCAAGAGTAGAAAAATCCTCAGAATTATTTCTTAATATCAAAATGTTTGCAGGTTTTTCTTTGAAATGCTTTGTAAATTTAAAGAGGCAATTGTACAAAGTCTCCTATTTTTCATACAGGACAAATTCTTAGTGTCAGCCAACCTCCAGTGGAAGGATAACCAGGACAGCACCATCTCTCTGGATAAAGAGCATTGGAATACTCAGTTTTGTTGACTTACATATCTCTTCATATATTTCATTGTTAATTTTTATAGTAGCCAATTTTGACAGTTTCTGCAACACGGTCTATTAAACTACTATATTTTATTTTATAAGTAGAATATATATTTCTTATAATTATCAATAAACTACAGAAGGAAAAGAAGATTCCTTATTTTCTTATATATATGCATAAGAATATTTTATATTCTTTATCCCATTACTGATGTTTCTTCTACTTCTGCCAACATAATATTTAAATGTTGATCATAAGCATGTAATCTGCCTTGAAGCTGCCAGCCGTTTTCTATTTTCATGTAAATTATCTCATCTAGGTTGAGTCTGATAAGATCCAGGGGCTACTCTGTGGTTTTGGCAGTTTACTACTGGCCCGCGTAATCTGCCATGTTTCAAATCTTGTGCCCTACCCCCTGAATTCTTACAACTCTGTGACACATGCTTATTACATAAAACTTTGCTTGTTTTATTATATCCTTCCTTACTTAAAACTCCTACTCATCCTTCAAAACCCAGACCACCTCTTTTGGGAAACCTCTCCTGAAACTCACAGGATGAAATAGTTATTCTTCATTCTAAATGCCCACAGGAAAATGCCCATATTTCCATTATAGCACTTATTGCATTGTACTAACTTATTCAAACATGTCCCACTCACTAGACTCTGAAGTCTCAACAAGAAACACTGGGACATTATTCACTGGCAAATCCAGTGCTTGCTAACCTAGCTTGTGTTCACTGTAATGAAGGGCATATTTTATATAAGAAAAGCATCACTGATATACCTATGTACCATAACATCAGTAATGGTATAAAGAATAAAATATATATACACACACACACAAACACACACACACATATATACATACACACATACACATATATATAAGAAGATAAGAATCTTTTTCTTCTGTAGTTTATTGATAATTATAAGAAATATATATTCTACTTATAAAATTATTAAAATGTAGGATTTTGATGGACCATGTTGCAGGAACTGTCAAAAATTTTCTACCTTTATCCAACATTAAATCACATAGTTTTATATTGAAATGTATGACCCAAATCAAATACTTGATAAAACTCTATGTTGACCCTTTTAGCAATTTCTGTCTTTTCCTTTTTTTAATTTATAAATTCAAGTGTGCATCTTTAGAAAATGTTACTTGGCTGTCAATTTTTTAAACAATTAATGATATATGTACACATATGTGCATTATATGGTGCATGTTATATGAATATTGATTATATGTATAGCACTTTATACTATATATGTGTGTATGTAGCATAATAAACTATACATATACACACAGAGATAGAGGGAGAAACCATATTTGTACATACTATATATATAATACCCCCCCCACCATTGTCCACCACAGCTCACTATTTATAATATATAGTTTCCTCACCCTTTGAGGTCAGCTGATGACTTTCAGATAATGAGACTGAATGGTACATCTGGGCCAAAAAAATGTGAATGCAGCTACCGACCTGCAAATGCTCTTAGCCAGCGAGTGCTCTGTCATGCAGTCCTGAGTTGAAGAGATGAGTGTGTTCTACAAATTGTGTTTACTCCATTGTGATATCTCAATCATTTATTTAATCTTGAGTGAACAATTTTGAGTTATAATGACTGACAAATCATGCAAGCAATAGTGCTGGATCTGTCATAAAGAAACAAAATGTATTAAGCTAGAAGTTCAGACACACGTTTTATTATAGATTGCAGCTTTTTTCAAGGAATTAGCAACTGCGTTAAAGATTAGCAGGCCATGAGGAGCTGATTCAAGTCTTTGACATTATTAGGGGTATTAGAAGCATCCCTTCAAACTGGGAGGATTGACCTGGTATGGTCAGGTATGTAAAGACTTAAGGGATCTCAAGACAAATATGATTAAAGGGATTTTGTTAAAATATTACCCTAAAACGTTGATCCTTTAAGTGATTTAGGATGTTGCTCCCTGATTCTTCCCCTCCAATTTCCCTTCTCTCCAAGTAAACAGATGTGCTTGTATATTGCTTTGTATTCATTTAACTTGTTTAATTCATCTTGATTTCAAATTAAGATAAGTTGTATATATATACTAGATATAAGTTTTTCACATATGCTAGATATATGTACTAGATAAAAGTTTTTTTGGTTTTTCTCACTTTCACTATCTTTTTCTGAAGTGAGAAAGGTAATCATGATTTATTTTTTTCAGTTGAAACATGTTTTCTTAAGAGAGCCGTCGAGTCAGTAGCTGTACATTAGAAGCAGAATATCTGGGGGCAGCGGGGAGCACCAAGGGTTTGAAAGGGTCCTCAGTGATTCTAATGTACAGCCAGGACTGAAAATCGCCACTCAGGAGAAGATGTATGTCTTTTTATTGTATAAAGAATTAGTGTTTCAGCTAGAACACTCTTTTGGAAAGCTTGCTCAGATGACTGGTCGTCTTACATAATCCCCTCTCCCACAATTGTGAATCACTTTTCTGGTAAATTCATATGATGGTATCTTTCCAGAATTCTCAAGCGGGAAAGATATCCTATAAGAAATATGAGTGTGGGCACTTATTCAGAGAAAAATTTTTTAATTAAAAAAATTATATTGACATAAAATTGTACATACTTATGAAGTACATAGTGACATTGTAATACATATAATGTATTGTGATCAGATCACAGTAATTAGCATAACCATAATTTCAAACATTTATCATTTCTTCGTGTTGGGAACATTCATTGTGCATGCATGGAATTGCTTTCTTTATACCAGCTCTTTCCTTTCCCTTGAATGTTGAAGGAAGATTGCCTTTTTAGGAGATTAAAGAGATCTGCCTAAATCCCGTATATCTCTGTATTAAAGAGGAGATGGCATGAGGATCTAGGCAGCTCTGTCCACTTGGAAAATCAGGAAGTTCAGGAACTGCAACAGCACAGCTTCACTGTGCTGCCGTGGGTGTTGTACACAGGTGACTTCATTAATGATTAACCACAGAGTCTGAATTGACAGGAGATGAAGGAAATTGAAACCCAGCATCTGTGTGAGGCTTCTGCTCTAGTTTCTGCTCCAGAGTCTTATAGAAAATGTTTTTCTCTGCAGGTTCGAACCAGTGTCCTACCAGAACATAAGGATCCCCCGCCGGAAGTTGGGGTAAGTGTTTCTTATATTTCCAAAAGGAACACACATCACCTCTAAATGAATCATTTGGATTTTCTCTGGCCTCCCGCCTGGAAACTGACAATAAAATGAAATTACATTAACAGGGTGTGGCTACTCGAGGAGGCACTGTCACATATTTGCTGAATTGCATGAAATTCTTTTTTTTGTTTATTTCCTGAAAATTATCCTCAAGTGAATTCATATTTAGTTCAGCTGGCCAGAGATGAGCCTAGACTTTGCCCTGCAGGTAGTTGAACTGTAATTCAGAGCCAACATTCCTGGACCAACAGGAGGCCAGGGAAATTACAGGTGTGATCTCCACCGCTTCAGCAAGGAGGAAGAGAACCAGCCATAGGATTGTGATATTTTCTGTTTCCTGCCACTTAAACACTGTAATGAAGGTCAAAAGAGAGGCAGCCACCACTGTTCAGCCCAGTGTTGGAAAATCCTGCTAAGGTTTTCTTGTGGCACTGAACTGTTGCCTCTCTAGCATTCAGAAGTTAGAAGAGCAAGAGGGTACTGGGTGCTTTCTGCTTAGACAAGGCTAGAGTAGGCACTGGCAGCTCCTAAAAGATAGAACCCCACAGGCTGAATCCCTGAGATCTGTGTGTTCAGAGAGTAGGAAAAAAGTATAGAAGTAAATTAGGTCTGAGAAGCTCTGGGGCTGAGCCAACTGGAAGAGCTATTTGAAATACCCTGAAATCCTACAGGCACTTGACAACCTTATTCCAGTCAGTGTGTAGAGCGCTGTACTAGGTATCATTCATTTTCTCATTGAACACAGCCACTTGTTCAAACCTGTTGCCAAGGAAGCACTCCAAAAATATGCACCAAAGTTTGACTCGACTGAGTAGAATGTTGGTTATCTCTGCAGCTGTTAGTGAAGAAGGAGAGGGAAAAGGGCAGTGTCTTGCTCTCTCTCGTGCCTAACCCAAGCCTCTCATCTCTTTCTGGGAACTGGTGAAGTAATTGCCTTAACTTGAGGGAATCCTTGCACTTTTTCTGCCTGTCCCTTCAACCTCTTGTGCTACTCAATTCCACCGCCAATCTCTGCGCTGATGGCACAAACCTTCATTTAGTTCCTCCAGTGGGTTCAGAAAGTTCTCCCCAGCCTCAGGCCTCCACGCATCAGGCCCATGTCCCTCTGTTAGCCTGGGCTGCTGCACCGCATGGGGTTGGGGTTGAGGGCTCCCTCCCACAGCTCAGGGCCCAGCTCACATGCTTCCACAACTACCACCCTGGGACCCTCCTTCCAACTAGACCCTCCATCCTTAATGCATGCTCTCATCACACCTGTGACACTGCTTCATAAAATGTGAGATGGTTTAAACCACTATTAATATGGTTAATACATTATTTTATCAAGGTTCAAGGAAGCTTAGCTGGTTTAATTTTTTCTCCTGTCGTCACTGCCCACCCCGACCCCACTCCACCACTGCTCTTGTGTTGAATCTCCCTTGCTTGAAGCTTTAATGATATTTTGGACCAATCATGTAGATTTCTCCCATTTTTTTCTCTCACTCAGGTTCTTGGGAATACATCTTAGTTATTTTAAACCTTGAGTCTCTCATTTTATTTTCTTCTATTTCCTCCCACCATTTTCTGCTACAGGCTAGGCTTTCTATACCTCTAGCAATGAGCAGTGGGGAGGAAGCCTAATGTGAGTCCTACATGTGTCCTGCCCTTTCTCTTCATTCCTCAGCTGTGAGAGCAAAGAGGAAGGAGTGGAGAGACAGAAGTTTATTCTGGGTTTGCCTCTGGTGAGGGTGAGGTTTCCTTACTGCTAGACTTGATGTTTCTCAGGCAATGGATGCCTGTTAGAGTTCTCTGTGGCAGATATTGAAATACTGGCTCTCCTGATGGGCAAAGGTGTAGATATTGCTGGGGACCTGGTCCGGTTCTCCCCAAAGCATCATTCCCTACCATGGGGCATTCCCTACCTGGCTCTGGGGCAACCTCCTCCACTGCCCACCCTCACTCCACACCCTCTTGTTGTGAGATCTACTATTCAAGCACATGACTCCAGGTCAGCCACTTTCTGTGCTGTCCAAATACATGAAACTCATAGTATTTGCTATCCCACATAGAAGATATGCAGGCTGTTCCATGGTGTGTTTACTCTCTTGGCTCAGCCATCTCTCTGCTGATCTTTTCTACAAGCCCCAGCAGCATCAGGTACTGGATCATAGTCAATTATTCTCAAAGGAGAGACAATCAATCGGTCCTCAGTGGAGGTAAACATGGTTTAGACACCTCTAGGCTTTATAAGTGATTTTTGTTACCAGATCCTCTTAACTTCAGCTTTGAGGATAAAGGTATTTTGCTGGCGGTTGATTAAGAGAGAAATTAGCCACATCTCCAAAATCAGACACCTTTCTAAATGCTGACTGACCTCTTCTCTCTTCTAGCCCTACCTTTATATTGACTGACTGTATTACAGCTACTTACAGACCAGTATCTCTACACTGGCTCCTCATCAAGCATTTTAATGAGGTTGCTGGCCTCAAACACTGAAGGTTCTGTGAGCATACAATGGGGTACATTTATTATATTGTGTCCTCATATTTGACAAAACTCAGCTATGATTCCTGAACTAAAAGAGAAATCTCAACTGGTATCCTGTGACATTCTTATTTTAGCAATTAGGAAGGCATCCTAAGGCAAGTAACCTGACAAATTGTGGCTGGAAAATAATTAATAGGGTTGCTTTACTCATGTTATAAAAGTCTTGGGAAAATGGAAAATTGTCCAGGGCTTCAGCTCCTCAAAAGTGACTTCAAGTAATGACTCCATCCATCTTCCTGCTCCCTCTTTCTTAGAGAAGTGCACGGTCTGGCCATGGTATCCCAGGTATCACATTCTGGGTTGAGTGAAGAATGAAGGGAGAAAAAGTCAGCTGGCCTGTTCCTTCATTTCTGGAAAACAGTAACTTCCTAGGAAATTTCATTTTGTATACTGTCACTTACATAGTATTGGGAAGACCGAGGTCCTTAGCTAGGAGAGAATCTGGGTACGATTCTCATTTAAACAAAATTGAGGTGCTGTTAGTGAAGAATGGGCAGAAATGGTGTTAGGTAGGCAATTAGTTATGCCTCCACACTCCTGCTCGATATACTCCATGACAGCAAAGTCTTTCTAATACTCCTGGCTTTGTGTTTGGAAGCTGGCAAATATATGATGTACATATTGAATAAATCAAAGAGCATACCATGATTTTATTTTGCCAACCATTTTGTGTATATTTAGAATCACCAGAAATAAATGTGGGGGGGGGGATTCTAGAAATGACTGCAATAGCATAGTAAAATTGTAACACCTTTTGTGACCCATCAAAACTCAAAATGGCAAGTATCACTTCAGAACTAAGTTTTGAGCATAGGAATAAGTTTAACAAAGAACAAGTCAGCATGCCTTGGCTTCCTAACACTCTCAGATGACGTGTTATTTTAGAGAGAGAAGTTAACATATGTCGACCACCTATGAAATACCACCTGTTAATATACATTCCATCAGCGAATCCTCAAAATATTTCCTTGGATGCTGCAAAACGGGTCTGAGAGTTTAAGCTCTTGGCCAAGGACATAGAGCCAGTAATGGCCCTGTCATTACAACATACAGAGGCTCTGCTCTTCAAGTCCTCTAATTTTTTTTTTTTAAAGAGCTTAGATTTTTTAATTGCAAATCTTTCAAATATGTTAGGTGTGTTTCTTTGCATTCTCAAACAGAATTTACTGAATGTACTCAAATATTTTCTTGATGACTTAGTCAAACAAATACTAATATCTGCTTTTAGATCTTTTGAGGTATATTCACAAGTAAAGATAAAATTCTATAATAAATGCCTTTACCTTAAAATGCTTTTAAATGTTTCCTTTGGGCTATTCATCAACTTTTAGTAGATTTCTTCCCAATTATTTTTTCTTTCTGATGTATTTTTTCAGTGTTAATAGTTCATTTAGTCTTTTTCTCTTCCTGTGGGGTAGGAAATAATGTAACCATATCTGTTATGGTTGACAGTTAAAAAAAAAAGTACTTGGGCTATGAAAATATGAAAAGGCCTGCCTGAAAGTTATGTGTAACAGATGTTGTGTATCAGCCTTATGACACCAACTTCAGCTTTTCAAAGACCTTTTCAAACTTACACCATGGTTTCTATATATAGTTTTACTAGGATAGGTTAAAATATTATTGATATATTCATTCAACCTCTAAACCATCACTGTTCAATGGATATAATGTGTGTCAGAAAATGCATGCCAAATATGTAATTTTAAATTTTCTAGCAGCTGTGTTTTTAAAGAGTAAAAAGAAACAGGATTAATTTTTAATATATTTCATTTAACCCAATATATGCAAAATATTCCAAAGTGTAATTGATACAAAAAATTATATATTCGTGTTCCTTTTTTATACTAAGTATTCTAAATTCAGTGTGTATTTTATACTTAGGGTACATCTCAACTTGGAGTAGCCACATTTTATGTGCTAAAGCTAGTGGCTGCCCGTTGGGTAGCACAGCTGTGGAGAGTAGTTGAATAAATTTGAGGAGGTCCATGCAAATTGTAACATAAAGAAAACCTGTGCTTTGAATAAAGGCTTTGTCAGAAGAACATGAGTGATGGAGGTACGGCCAGCTGTGGCCACATGTATGGGGTTGTACTTCTTTGACCCCCTTAAATGTGACTGGGGAGCCTCTGAGGACTGCTGCATGGAAGCATCAAATCCTAGTGAGCAGCCTCGATATCTATGACTTGCCTAGAGTGGCTGCAGGTACTGGTGGGATACACTGTTCGTGTGGACACACCCTGGGATTCTGACAGATGCCCCACTTTTTTTTCACCCTGTTTGACGTTACTCTCCAGCCAGGTGAGAGTGATTGAAATCACGCAGCAAGCAATTTAATCATCATCTGCTTTGGGGTTCTTGGACCAGAATAACTGTGAGGGTTGTGTTGTCATGAGCAGGCGAGAAAGGTTAGAGCTGCATGTTGTGCAAGCAGAGAGTCTGTCAGAAGGAAAGGGAATAGCTACCAGTCCTAGAAATGAGGCACAGCATGGTGGGAATGAAAGCATGCTGGACAGAGAAGCAAGACACCTGGGTTCTAACTTGGCTTCTGCATATTAACTAGTTCTGTGACATGTATAAGCTAATTTACTCTTAGAGGCCCCAGTTCCTTCATCTCCAGACTAGCAGGGCTTAACAATCCTTAAGGTTCTTTAAACATTTTATGTAATCTAATACAATTTACAGCTATAGCGGATCATAGATAAGATTTTCTCAATAATAATATTAATAACTATGTAGGATCTTAGGGCCTTTGTTTCTTCTTTTTTCATTTTTTTTCTAAAATTTCTTCTAATTTATATTCCCCCAAATCTAATTTTTATTTTTAAACATACGTTTTGCTTTTTGTATTGCAGGCATTTTTAATAGACTTCTTAAAAAACACTGCCTTTCCCCAAAAGTATTTAAGGGGGACATAGGATACTTTTAAGGCATCTGACTTCTGGTTATATGATCTTACGATCACTATGCATAGTTATATTTATGGTAAACTTTTTATTTTCCTGGTAATGTACTGGAGGCTTTCTTTGCTTGGATTACTTTACTTCTCATAGCAATAGCTATGAGAAAGATAAAGTTATCATATGCATTTTTTTCAGTGACTAAGGCCTAGAGTAGTGGCACAACTTGTTTAAGACCACAGACTTCGTAAGTGAGAAGACAGGGAAATAAGAACTCACAATGCTTAGCAGTAGATGATGAGCCTGGGGACTGGAATAAGACATTTCATTGTCCAGATTTTCATTTTTGGACAGAATAACTGATTTAAGGCCACACTTCAGACCTCTGAGCTTCAACTCTAGCGAAGCTTTTCCTTTGTTGTCTATTTTCCCCTGTTAGAAACAGCACCAAAGGAAATGCAGAAAATATTGTCCCTTGAATTATATTTAAAATATTTAAAAATCAAATAAATTCTCTTAAATTCTATGATTATAATGACAGTGATAGTAAAGATACAGTAGCTTTATATTAAATTATTCTTTTACCTTAGCATCATGTGCTTTAGAGAAGATTCATTCATTCTTCTACAATGTGTTCAGAGATTATTCATATAAAGATTTATTTTCTAACTTTGGGGGTGGGAGCATCCTAGTTTTATTTATACTGAGGTGAAGGAAACAAATAAGAAACCCACTCAGAAGTAAATGCATAGTCAATCTCATTGTTTGCTGCTGCAGTATAAAAAAATTACAATGTCTTTACATTTTAAAAAATTTTATTAATGCAGTTTCTACAACATGCAGTCCTGACTTACAGTTATTTTTAGGATTTAAAAAAAGGATAGCATTTGTACCTAAATTATACCTTCTCTTGTTTGACAAGTTTTCAGAATGTAATGGTATGATGCTATCATTATCCAGATTGATTTTTAACAGATTGTATTATTTGTGAGCACTCTCATTATCCTTTGAGATCAAGCAAGTGGCTGACAGTTGTAATGGATAAACCTGACTCATGGGCATTGTTCTTGGCACACTGTATGTGCTCACAGTGCAGCCCTCTGTTCCAGACACTGGGCTCAGCTAGAAGATAGACAAGCCAAGGTCCTGCTTCCACAGGAGCTCCTGGTCTAGTGAACAGGAGAAACATTCAATGGCCTGTGGTCATAAATTTTACTTGCAGCTGTGCCTTATGGTGAGTCCATAGTTTATTACTGAAAATAGCAATTCCACCTGTCTCTAGCTGCTACATTCCAATGTGGGCTGTTTGCTACTTTTATTGCCAAAAAGATGCAATGAAATAATGACATTTGTAGCCAGTTTTATCAAATCTAAAACCATCCATACCTCCAAAATCTTAAAAGACAAATAGAAAATAATTTGCAATTTGGAAGAGTCATGAAATTTATGATTGCTTACAAGTTTTCTTGGAGTGTCAATAATGAGTAGGAATTAAAGTTAAAAACTATGGTTATTTGTGAAAGAGAAAGGGAGATAGACATCTCTTTAAAATGCAAAATGCTAAAATAAAATTCACTATAGCAGTATACAATCTGCATACTATAAAATTGTCTTGATTTTCCACATTTTGGTGAATTACAGTAGTTTATAAATAGCTGCAAAAGTAGCTTTTCTCCTATATCTATTAGATTAAATGGCTTGAAGTCTAGTGTCTATGCCATTGGTTCGTTCGTTAGTTCGTTCGTTCATTGTCAGTAAGTATTTACCAGATACCTGCTGTGTGCTACACAGTGGGGATGTATCAGCAATGAAAGAAGGCTCCTTGTAGAGCTTCAATTCTCAATTCTTTTTTGGAGGGGTGCAAAATAAACAAATATATATGTCAAGTGGTCACTAAGTGCCAATAAAGAAAAATATAACAGGAATAGAGAATAGTGGAGAGTGTATGTGGGAGAGGAGTGTGCTTTTATATGGGGATGTCCTAGAAGGCATCTCTGATGAGGTGGCATAAATGCTTTTATTCAGGGGGGTCTCTTAGGCCCTCTCTGCCCCTGGCTGAAAAGTCACCCTAATTTCTGCAAACTTTGTAGATGCAGCTCACAAACTTTCTTCTCTGTCTTCATTCATTCTGCTTCATCACTCGTGGACCTATCATCAGAATTTGTTTCCAAAAATCTTCTGTTTTTTGCTTAATGTTTCTCACCTAATAATTTAGTCTCAGATTTTTCAGACTTTGGTGACTTTGTTTCTAAAGTACCTCTTTGGGTTTTAAGTCAATTAATTGGATTTACCATTAACAATATGTGGGTATCTCAAACTTTAGAACTGATTTAGTTGTATTTCCTTGTTTTGTCTTTTCTTTTCTTTTCTCTTTCTCTCTATCTCTCTTTTTTTTTTTTTTTTTTTTTTTTTGAGAAATGAGGTCTCATTCTGTCTCCCAGGCTGGAGTACAGTGATGGAATCAAAGCTCACTGCAGCCTCAAACTGCTGGCCTCAAGCAATCCTCCTGCCTCAACCTCCAGAGTCACTGAGATTATAGGCATGACAGGCTAAGCCACCATACCCAGTGTGTGTTATCAGATATTTGATTTTAAGCCTTTTAGGAACAGCTCATCTAAGTTAAAGATTTTAAAGGAGGGAGAAAAAGTCTTACTTAAAGCTTTTCTTTCCTCGGCCTAGCAATCTCTGAATGTGGATGTAGCCTTTCATGTATGAAATAACTTCCTATATACCTCTAAAAAGATATACCTATATACCTATATTCCTATATACCTCTAAAAAGATATAGTTACCCTCTAATTCAGTTAGAGGCTGAATTCTTCATTCAGCCTCTCATTCTAGTGCAGCTTGACAGTAGACCTATGATGACAGACTGTTCTGGAAGAAGTAGCATTGACTTATTTTATTACATTTTGTTAGGCAGCAGTGACATAGGAAATAATATGGGTTTGATATTTTCATATTTACTCCTTTACCTTAAAGGAAGAATGAGGATTCCTTTTTATGTTATTTATCCCATAATATTGTGACTTTTAAATCAGAAGTAGCCAGGGATATTAGAAAGAGATGATAGGCTTTTTATCCTGGGAAAGAAAAAAAAAACAATTTGGAGTTTTATTCTTTACATTGAGTCAAAAAGAGTAGAAAGCAGATATTCATAGGTCATCAGCATCTAATATAATAGGCTAAAAAGGCAATTTAAAAATATGTAACTAAGTGTCATTCTTTCTTGTGTATTGGAATGAAATTGTCCCATGCTAGTAAAGAAATAGCAAAGGAAAAAATGCTTTTAAACATTGCTGTGATGGGGGAAAATATAACATTGCTATTTATAACTTGTACAAAGTCCCATACAAAAATAGCTCCAACTAACAGATTTGCTCATATCTGGAATACAAAGTTGTTGCTGCCAGTGATTTGCGGAATTCTAATAAGAAGAACAACAGCATTGGTAAATATGGAAAATATATCATCTTTTCTTTTCCCTCAGTTTTCATATGCGAGAAAATTATAGTTAGTGAAAAAGTTCCGGGTACTGTATTTTACATCTAGTTATTTTCTAGCCTGTTGGTCTCTTTTCTTTTAAGGAAAATGATACATTTTCACCCTTTAATCCTACCCCATGAAATGGATATATTACTGATAATTGTATATCTGTCAGTGAAATATTTGTGAGCTAATACATTTAATATTTTATTCTTCTAGAGACTAATTTTGTGTGACTGATGTGACAGCAAACATATTAAAGAACCTCAGATGAATGAAACCATTCTCTCTCTTATTTTCAGCGAAGTTTCTTGGGCTATGCCAGTTTCAAAGTGGGAGAGCTACTGAAGTCAAAGGAGCAATTGCTGGCCCTGAGCCTGAGGTGGGTCTCTTTGTTTACAGACACACTATTAAACTTAACAACCCAAGATATGTATTGATGGCCAGTGTGTTTGAAAAGTCATAATTCTTACAGATGTGAGTTGTCAGCTCTCAAATAGCTAATGTTTTCCACTGCAACAAGTTATAGTGAAATAGCAATCATTGAAATTCACATTCAAGTTCACTTTTCAGGTTGTGAAATGTTATTAGCCCTTGTAAGAAAAAGAACAATATTACATTATCACTAAAGTGATGAAATTCTTTGAAAGTAAGAAAGTAAATTATAATCTTGTTATTAAATATTTTTCCCTTAACAAATATTACTTTTTAAATCAAATAACTTTCTAGATTTGAAATATGTTAGAGGCAATATTGTAGTGTGATGATAACAGAGAGTAAGCTGATTTTTCTTTTGTCAGTCTATTTTGGTGCTATACTATTAAACATAAACAACTTCTAGGTTAAAACATTCTTGGCACAGACAATAGATCATAGCTAACTCTGAGTATAGTTTGCTTTGAAACAAAGATGAGACAACAGTCTTTAGGAAGTCACTAATTCCTAAGAGCATTAAATAAAACAAATTTTTCATTTTAAATTCAAAGCAAATATGAAAACTCAAATTTTGAAAGAATTGTTTTCTAACTATATAGTAACTTTCATAATTATGCATACATTGGAAATACTTCCTTGCAATATTTATATAGTATAAATAAATACAAAAATTTTATAGAATGCTGTTTGTAAATCTTAAGATGCTCTTATTTTGATGAAACATGGAGACCACTTTCAAGGAGCTGGACAGTGTCTTGCGTTTGTCCCCTTCGACCAAGGACCCACTTGTAATCAATAATTTATTTCAATAAAGATGTGATGGCTTATGCTAGCATCTATAATCCAGGATTTCTCTTTTTCTGATTTGTTTCTAATTCTTAAAGCTCCTCATTTTGATTTGATAAGATCATATAATTTAAAATATGTAATACATCAAGCAGAGAAAAAGTTGTGGATTCTAATGAGGCTGCCATCTGCTCTAGCTTTCTTTAGGTTATGTCTCATAAACATCTGATGTTGGTGTTGGTGTTATATTTTGTATGGGAAAACATATAAAAATCTTTATAGTTTTAGGATGTTATTACCAATACAATTTTGCTGCTGTTATTGTTTTCAGTTTGAAGTGTAAAGGGTCAGCTAAAAAGGCTGGCTATGAATGTCACAGACAACCTAGAAAATATCATCATTCTTGCCTGACTGTTGAATCTGATCCATATGCCCCTGGATTCATAACATAACATATCAAACCTTGAGCTATCTTAGGACTCCTCGCAGTCCACGTGTTTCGTAGATAAGATGCATAGCATGTTCTTCATCATCTTACTGTCTCACAAGCCCCAGTATTCCTTACATCACAAAAGTCATTAACACCAGCAGTATAGTACATAGTGGTACAACATTTAGATACTGGTTTGAAACAGAAATCAGGAGACCAGAAGTTCTTAGTACAATTAAAATTAGTGAACACACAGTACCTTAGAGAGGACAAAAACAGAAGGGTCAAATCTAGAGTATTGCCCTTGAAAGAGAAAAGAAATACATAAATTTCACATTTAGATGAAAGCAAGACAAATTTCTTTACTTTTGATTTTAGTACCCCTGATTCCTAGTCATTTGATCTTGATTATATAAAACAAATCGAACAATGAAGAATTGAGTTTTTAGAAAAAATAATGTTAGAAAACCAATTCTGGAATGGCTAGGTTATAATTTTTCCCAGTTTTGTGCTTTGCCAAGTTTGTTGGTTTTTGTCCCTATGAACCAGACAGATTATATATTTATCATAGACCCTTGATTTCTTGTAGATGGCTATTTTTTTTTAAAAATCTGATGTAATTTATTTTCTTTCCACTGATTCTGTCTCTTAGATATTGAGTTAGAAGAACATTAGGTCAGGATTAAGCAATATTTTTGTTTTGTTTTGTTTTTTAACATATAACTTCACACTGATTGTGTCTGATTTATTTCTTTTATAGTTATGAATTTTAAAACAATAAACTCAGATTTCTGTAAAACAAATTCATAGAAGTAAGAGGATTCTTTGATGATGATTAAAGTTCATTTTCTTCATGGTTAATTTTAGCTTCCCCAAATCTTACAGTTGTGCTTGTATTCACTGTTTCTTTGAGGTCTTCCTATCAGATAATTCATATTCCAAAACTTTCAAGCTAATTCCACAGAGCATCATGATTTAATATGGCTTCTTGTCATATGTGCTTTGAACCAGAGATTAAGGGCAGGCAATTTATTGTCTTTTTTTTTTTTTGCTGCAGAAAACTTAAAGAAATAAGATACATGCATCTAATTTATAGATTTAAACTCAAATTTAATGAAATATGGTATTTTTAAAGATGTAGCACAAAATTTGTTTATCTGTATTGGGGAAAATGCCTCTGATATATAAAGTAGTTTCTATTCATATGTCATCTTTATTTAAATGCATAGTTTACTATGTTTCTGAGTGTTCTAGCATCCCAAATGGACTTGGTATCGCTTTAGTAATATTGTCTGTATCTTTATATTACATCCACTCCATTTCACTACTTTGCACTTGGCAGTTCCTGTTTCCTCTGATTTCTTTTATATCTCAATCATATTTTCTGTTTTTGTTTTCTGATTCATTGCTGTGTACTCCTGACTTCTAGAATTGTAAACAAAGTAGAGTTTCTGTATAGCGGATAATTATAGCCATGAAAGACACTTGATAATATTATAATAATGATAATAATGATAATAAGAATGACAACAGCAAACTATGTGCTTTGTGCTCTGATAAGTATATTAGAGATGTCTCATTGACCCTTATTGAACTAGATGCTATTACTAATTTCCATTCCATAAATCAAGAAACTGAGGTATAGAAAGCAGTTAAGTAATTTGTGTAAAGTTATAATGCTCTTAAATTGAAAAGGCAGGTTATGAAACCACACATTTCTGATCACAAAACCCATGATTTTAATGACCGACATCTTGTCTCTTTGAACAAAGGAGAAGACAGAGAACCAGTTGAAATTTATATCACATGTTACATAACTTACTAATGGCAGAGCAAAGCAAGGACTCAGGCCCAGAACGAGTTTTTCAGTTTCGTCCATGTTTGAGTTAACCACTGTGCCTGGGCTTACAGAAGATGATGACTAAAAAAGCGGTCACATGCCAGGGAGAACTTGGGAATGTTAATCATGATGGAAAAGTGGGAAGAGCCTGCTAGTTAAGGGGGATTGAAGGCTGAGGGAACCCTATGGAATGTGTTCTCATCCCAGAACCATGCCTTCATCTGGACCTCGATCTGGTTTGCTGCCGAAACACCTGATAATCGTTTGCTCTACCAACTTGCCGTAATTTAGGGGGGGACCAGACACGCGTAACTTTGGAGCATCATAATAATGTCTTATGAGTTATGAATGTAAAAGTTAAATATATAAAAGTTAATTCTTTCCGTGGAAATGTTACTAGCTGTCAGGGAAAAAAATACATTGATTTTAAAGTACTTAAATAACCACAAATGCAAAACAACAACTACAAAGGTAAAATTTGTTTCCTAGGAAATTCATCTCAGAGGAATGACACAGAAGAAAGTGGCTTTGTTGTGTGCCTCCGCACAGTTTGGATTTCACTCAGTGCTCATGCATTCAGCAAACATTTACTATGAATATTTTATATTCTAAGTACAGGAATAGAGTTAATATATTTCCATTGATGTTACCAATTACAAATTTAATGAAAAAAAAATCTCATAATGTATTGAGCATCTACTACCATGCAAGGAATATGTGAAGTACTTTTTATGCATTATCTTATTTAATCCAAGCGGCATTATCATCTGTTTTATATCATTTTGTCTAAAATTCTATAGCTGCTGACTGTACAAGTGGGATTGGAGCTCAGTTTGGTATAACTCCAAAGCCTGTTCTACTTTTATTTTACTACCTAGTAGGAAGCTCAGGATCTAATGGAGTCTTTTCTTCCTTCTCCATTTTATATTCTATTGTTTAATGGGTTTTAGGAGTCTCAATTTTTTTTACTAATGTTTTATGTTAAAATTCAATTGTATCTGCCTGCAACATGGTAGAAGTTTAATAATTGTTTTTGGAGTTTTAATTCATAATTAATACTTCTTACGTTTTTATGAATGCTAAATGTACCACTAGCACCAAGACTTCATTTCTGGGTGGAACCTGTCTACAGTGGTGAATATCATGCAGTCTAAGCGTTAGAGTATATCTGAGACAAGTGAATTTCAGAGTCATAGTGAGTGAAAGGTTGTCATCTGCTTTAACACCTGTAAATCTTAGAAGCCACATTTACTTCAGTACAGGGCACTTTACCTTGTCACAGAAACTTTCAATTCATCTTAACAAGGACTTTATTATTTTGTTTTGAAACCTTCTATATGTCACCACACCCCCACTCCACCAATTAAACAATTTTTATATCATTTTATCAGGGTGAATATGATAAAAAGTTTTCCTGAATAGAGATGTGCAAGTATTTATTCATACAAATTCATTCATATTCATCAAAAACATGCTTTCTTTTCATTTATTATTTCTACCACATTTACAGTAGTCCTTTTCAAGGAACAAATAACAAAATACTGATGATCTTAAATGGAGATATAATTATGTGTTATAATATAGATGTATAGAAAATTCTATAAAAGAAGAACATCTAACTTCTGTTTATTTTTAAATTTCTCCTACTTTATATAGTATTTATATATGTATATATATGCATGCATATGTACATGTATTATAGATTGTGTGGAAGCATACGTGTTTGGGCATCTATATCATTTTAGAGCATTTTGCTTCCTCACAAACTATGAATATTTATTTTCTATTTTTATCAAATGTTTATGCCTAGAGATGTAAGATCCGAATTGTGAGGTTTTTAAGTTTTCATTTTTTGGTGTTTTGCTTAATTAACCTCCTTAAATGCACACAT